AATATCAACGTTAACAACCCCAAACAGGTGTCTCCAGCACATCCCTCTTTGCTGAGCTCCCGGTTCCATATCTCAATGTCCATTTAATATCTCCAATAGGACTACAAAAGGCGTCTCAAAAATAGAAATCATAATTTTCTCTCTCAAACCTGTATTCTCTCCAGATCGATAAATCTACACAGTAGGAAGAATCTGGTACAAGTGCTAGACTTTATAAGCAAATAAATTTCTTCTTACAGATGGGGTCCAAGTAAGGCAATCGATTTTGCTTAGATTGTACAGCATGACACAAAGTTTCTCCGTCTCATTGAATTCCAGGATACCAAAAAGGGGAAAATCACCTGTGATTATTTCTGCACTTTCCTGTTACAGAACAGAGCAAAGAGAGGCCAGTGGAAGTTTAGAAACTTGCTAATTGTCACAGAACCAATTTATTGCATATTTCCTTCCATATCCATATGAGGGTGGAAGCCTTCCTAAATCAATAACCACGTGCAAGGTAAACACTCACGTACTGCAGCAGAGAACAGCAGAGCTGGTGTGAGATGGCAGGGAAGGTTTCCCAGAGGAGGTGCTGCCGCTATCTCTCGAAATCTGTCTTTCTAGGATGGGGGGAGATGCAGTGAGGGTGCTCCTAGTGAAACTCTTAGGATGCTCGACTTCTCTGAAACATTTGATAATATTGGGGATTTGCTCCTCCTTGACTTTCTCTGCATTAATAGCCGTGACACTGAAGTTTCCTTCTCTACCTCAAATGCTGCATTTCGTTCCTAAGGCAATGCTTTAACCCTCTTATTTTGTCTTCCCAAATGCTGAGACATTCAATTATATGGAATCTGTAAACAAATCAAAATGCCTCTAAATTGAATCTACGGAATAACATAAGTACTGTAAACCCTACTGCCGTAAGCAACGTGGCATATTATGCCATATGGTGAAAAAAAATAGTTTGATTCAGAGAAAAACACTATTTTTGAAGGAAAGAAACCTCTGTCCATCCCCCTTATGATTTTTAAGTCCAACTTTGTTACCTTTGAAGTTAGACAGAAACCTTTTGGGTACACAAGCATTTTGTTTTCTCTAAGTCAATAGTGAAGTTTTTTTTTAATTTATTTCTTTTGGGGGAGGAGTTAATTAAGTTTATTTATTTGTATTTCTTAATGGAGGTACTGGGGCTTGAACCCAAGACTTCGTGCATGCTAAGCAAGTGCTCTACCACTGAGCCATTACCCTCCCCTTGTGAGGTTATTTTCTGATGCTTCTAATATAAACGTTGAGGTTAGGAGGGAAAGTCATAGGATCATTATCTCACCATGTGTTCCAGCTTGTTTGTTTCAGTCACATGCTTTTCAGTGTTCTTCCTGAGCTGTCAACAAACTGCCAATTAATTATGAAATCTAGCAGGTTTTCAGAGGTTACTACACTGAGAAAGTGAGATTATGAGTCAGTATATCATGGGATCAGTTACTGCTGATTTACAATTTCCAGAATACCTGTGGACAAGTAAACTTTTCAAGATGGAACAATGATTTCTTTGGATCCTGTAGATGGGGAGAGGGAAGAAGCTGGTATTTTCTGAGCATCCACTGAGAAGAGCCCTCTTTCTGTTTAAGTTGCCATTTGATAACTGTATAACTGAATTCTAGTATTTTTCTTAGTGATATTTCAATGGAGGGAATCTTATGAGGTAGCCATTCACAGAAGATAAGCACAGAAACTAGTCTTTGCTCTTTGTCTTGTCTAACACCCCACTGCTGAGCTCAAATGCCCATCTGTAATAGAAATCAGTGTTCTCCTAAAAAAAAAAGTTATCTGACTTTTAATATTAGTTCTGTTTCACTTCATCTGTAATACCAAGTAAATCACTCCAGTTGTACAGTCATTTTTGCTGAGAAAAGGCATTTTTATTTTTGTATAACATGGTATTTTCAAGAAATTTTAGGCTTGAAAATCCTGACTACCAGTGAAAAAAGTTAATCATGGTTCACAGTAGGAGGCGATCGAAATAGTATAAATAGGTTTATACCACACTGAAGATTTACATGCTGACTTATTTTTCCAACGTTTATTGAAATTTCTTAAAGTAGATATTCCTATCCTATTGCCCTTTGGGAGAAAAAAAAAATTCAGGAGGTTGTTGATCTAATTATTGATGTGTGGGAGTTTACGCACCCAAGATGTGTGAGATTTTTATTCACCTACTAAAATTAATTCATTGTTCATTAGTTCTATATTTTATAGTAGATGAACTCTTTCTGATGTGGGAGATGTGTGTGTGTGTGCGTGTGTGTGTGTATACACACAAAGGAAAAGAGACAGAGAGGTTAGGAAGGGAAAAGAAAGAGGACAGAGAAAGACAAAAAAGACAAAGCTTTAAATGAGCACTTGGAATATTTAGGACCTCACCTTCACAAGAATCGTGATGGAAGAGGATTGTTGCCAGGCCCCCTCCCTCCGTCTCCCGGCTCACAACAGAAGTATCATAATATTCAGAGCTCTGAGGAAAATCTTCCTTCACCTCAATTGTTGGCTTTATTCTTGGTCTCTATCTTGGATTTAAAATATTCCATCCAGTTGTCTTGTGAAACAAATATTTGCCTCTGAGAGAAGGATTAGACCATACATCAAAATGACAGCCAAAGGATGGATTGCAAATGAAAATATTTAGTTTTCCCAGGTTCGTTTTCAGATGTTTTGTAGCAGCAGTGGAAATAGAAATTGTATTCAACGTGGTGAGAATGCAGGAAAACACGATCTTTCTTGTTACCCTTGTAGGTGAGATGACATTCATTTATGCATTCATTCCTTTAGTGTCCAGTAAGTGTCAAACGATTTGGTAGGCCCAGGTGATCTAATGCTTGGGGGGGGGTGAAACAAAGCAGATTCCAACATTCATGAAACTTGAAGGAGAAGGCAGGTATTTAGTCCAGTGAAGAAAGCCAGATTCATTAAAGTATTCATATTAATGGTGTATAATTAGATGTTCTGAAATGAAGGAAGACTGATCTGTAAGCAAAGTAACCAAGAAACGTAACTGGCTTGGTGTTATGGGGAACGATTCTATGGGATATTTTTGACATGTGATGGTATTTGGGTGATAAATGAGGAAAAAATGTATTTCAGTTGGAGGAAATGGATATACAAAAGCCTTAGGGTAGGAATGAACAAAATAAGTTTAAAGAACTGCAAGAAGATTAGTCTGGCTGGAGAATGGTTATTTGAAGACAAAAGGAAGACATGCAGAGCCAAGATGCTAGAGGACCTTGTAGGATCCAGGGATTTTCTTCTTTATCTCAAGGACAAATAAATATAGCCCAAAGTTACTAGTAAAGGCAACAACACTGTGATGTTTGAATTTAAGGTGATGACTCAGGCCATTGTGTAGAAAAGGATTGAAGATGCATGTGTTTAAGTGTGGAAGGCCAGGAATGATGGGTTTGGGGCATTTCAAGAGCTAAGTGGTGCCAGTAGCTTGAATTAGGGTTGTGACAGGAGTCTTAGAAAGGAACTGATGTTTGAGAGATATATTATGAAGGTAGCACTAACAGAACTTAGAGATGGGTTTAACATGAAGATGTCAAAGGTGTCTCCCTTGTTTCTGGCTTCATCAAGTGGATGAATGAGAGTCTGGAAAAGCATGGCTTGATGTGGGGTATGAATACCATGAGGAGTCGCTTTAGAAACATGAAGGTGGAGCTGTGAAGAAGGCTAATTATATCAATCTGGGGATTGAATGAGAAGCAATACATATAATTACAGCCATAGACTCTGTTGAATGTCTGGCTGAGTGCATGGAGTAGGATAAATGGTTAATAGAATTAAACAAAATATAGTATTTCATGGCAAAATAAAAAGGGATGAACTTGCCAAAGGACTGAGAAGGCATTTTTACAAATTCCATAGAAACAGAGGAGCCAGATGTTACAGACATCAACTAAAGTGATCATTTTTTGAGGAAAAAAAAATACTTTGATAGAGTGATGAGGAGAGAAGTATGATTGGTCAGAAAATGAACAGAAAGAGACAGACAACTCTTTCTGAAAACTCAGAAAGTAGAGGAGGGAAATTATTTTAAACCATAGGTAATTTGAGCATGGTTAAAGACGGAGGAAAATAGTGGAGAGAGAGTTTCAATACACTGAAAAACAGGGTTAGTCAATTGGCAAAGTTTCTCAAGATGTCAGATGAACAGATTGGATTCGGCAAGAGAAAGAGCGCCTCCTATTGTCACAACAGGGGCAGATATGTGTTCTGAAAGTGATAAAGAAAAATATAGATGAACTCAAGGCATAGATTTGTTTGGAAGAGAGCTTCGACTTTATATTGTAATATGTTCATGCCATTTTACAATTTTCTCTGGTATATCCAATAATATAGAGCTGTGGAAAGAATCATAGGACTTGAGTTTAAAGCACTTAAAAAGCAATTTTCTAGGAAATGTCCTTTTAGATACTATTGGAAAAATGCATTCATTACTCAATATACCCCATCTGCATAATTTCTGTTGTACCTACCATGGAAGACTATCTATGAACCTTTCACTGATCTTTGCCAGTAAATTATGACAGCTACAGTTTTATTAAACTTTATTCATCAAATGTAGTCAATGAGGAGTTAGAAATTTATAAATATGTTGTTAAATGTATTCTGTATGGATGCTTAAAAGTAAATCAAAGTTTAATGGTTTCTTTGTTTTTAGTACATTTTCTTTCAGCCTATGTTTATTAATTTTTCCTCAATATATTTTTATTTGCCCCTATGTTTCTACTTATTGAATGTTGTATAAAGCTGTATGAGTGAAACAAACAAACAGTATTTATTATGATCAGGAGGTTCATAATCTTTATTCAGAGATGCTTACCTATGATGGATTTTGTTGACATTCACCACCAAGTTTCGATTAGCTCAGTGGCGATTTCTATTTGCTATTGAACATTTCTTGATACATTTCTCCAGTATGTCATGTATTTGCTGATTATTTGCACTGTTAATTTTCACAGGTGTAAACCAATAAGGATGTTTAAGTGCTGGCCAGCTGTTTTGATTCTTGGATTCATTTTTCTGGAGTCCGAAGGAAGGCCAACCAAAGAAGTGGGATATGGCCTTAAATCCTACCAGCCTCTCATAAGATTGCGACACAAGGTACAGTCACACTCTGAACTGACTCATGGTGCCTGTAGATTATGAGCTAAACTATTCGATGTCTGAGTTACTACTCATTTAGGAGCACTTATTTCAGAATATGCTTTCAGAATATAACTTACATGCAAAAACACACATAAAACATGAAACGGTAGTACTTTTGGAAATTTACAATCTGGAGGATTAAATACCTCTTGACAAAGTATAGAGATGGGTCATTTAAAAAGATATCATTAAAAGTTTACGTGAAGTAATAGTAAAGGATTTGTAAGAATAAGGAAATACGTTAAGACCTAAACTCCCAGATGCTTTCTCTTTTTTCCATATTAATTTTAGTTTACAACTTTTTAAATGGAAAGAAAAATGTTGTGCTCTTGAGTTTGCCATAAAGCTAAACAAAAAGGACGTCTATACCATCTGGAGATATATAGTTTGACAAAGTTTTTATTTTTATAGAAATCATTAGGCATTTTAAGTTCATCAACAATTATCTTTTTGGGTGGTCCAATGTTGAGGAATTATGTCATTCCTTTATGTTAAATATTTTCAAGCATAAAGTAAATTGACATCTAGGCATACTATAAATGATACAGATTATATACTTACAATAAATTAATCTGGTGCTTTTATTTTAGTAACAGATCATGATACTGAAACCAAGAGACTAAAGCAACTTTTATTCGATCAAATAAAAGTAAATAACACATTTTGGTTTTAATAGACAGCATACAAAAGATAAGAAATGCTAAATTATGAAAGGAAAATATATATTTTAAAATTTCTTGTCACTTGTCCTTTAAAAAATAGGTGAAATAAATAAACACGATTATATTGATTTTCTCCCTTACATTCAATACATGCTTTTGGCATTTACATTGCATATATTTTTGATGAAATTATTTCATAATATTATAGTAATCTGATAAAATAGCTAACCTTTACTGGGATTTTTATGTGCCAGATACTAGGCTATGCTGTTAAATTTATTATATTATTTAATATTTAAAATAATCTTATGAAGATGTACGTATTTTCATTCTATAGATAACAAATCAAACTTCTTGGAAATGTTAGAGATTTTCTGAATGCATGCGTTTATTAAATATATCAGTTGGCTAGATTATATAACATGCAAGATAGACTTGATAGGCAGACAAAAGAAAATAAATAAAATATAATAAACTTAGTCACATGGAAAAGTAAGCAAGTTCTTAGTGTGTTTGGCCTGGATAAATACAATTGGAAAATTAGTCTTGTTCCACTATCTTTTAATTATCACCTGTTTCCTCTACTTCATGGACTAACAGTAAGTTTTATCCTTGGATAAAGGATATCCTTATCCCACACTTAGAAATAATAACTCCTTTATGAATGTTCTCAAAACACATTATTAATTCAACATACTGGCTCATGCTGTTAGAGACCCAGTGAATATTTATTCCATGCTGTGTGTTTGCCCTAAGTGAGGTGTCTTGAGGTTAGAAACTGTGTCTTTCTAATCTTTTCATTTGTGGTGCCATGAATATAGTAGCTACTGTTTAATTGAATTGATGGCAGAAAAATAAATGACAGGTAGAATGCATGACTAGGTGTTTTTGATTGTCCCCTTGCTAAAATATAATACCGCAGATTTGGATGTATTAGAGTACATTTATAAACGATTCTGAATTAACTTTGGATGTTGAAGATAAATTACTTATCCTCCATTGTTATGTGATTTAATTAACCTTTAAAGAAAAGAAACGGCACAATGAGTTAAACCTATTTTGGAAACGCTAATGTCCACCAAACTGATCAAAGTCACCTCCCGATCTTTTCCATCTCTTTAGTCTGTACCTTTAAATAGTTAGAAATAATACATGATTGTTGGTATTTGAAAGCAGAGAGGCAGAGAATGTCATGGTAATATCTAATTTTCAAGTGACTGGGGACAGAGGTGACATTAAGCTATAAAAGGCATTTTGTGATTGTGTGTGTGTGTGTGTGTGTGTGTGTATTTGATAGGAATAAAGACACACCTTGAGTTGTTCAGGTCCCTGCAAAAACCCCAACAGATACTTTCTACTTCCTGTCAACCCCTACCCAATTGTTACCCCAAAAGGGGGAGGGAAAAGACCCCAGTTCTTGTCTTACCAGAAAGATAAGAATTCAGATGGGAGATGGAAGAGTTGTGTAGCAAAAATACAAAAGGTTTTATTAGCAAAAGAAAAGTACCTCTCCAAGAATGGGAGGCGGGCTGATCCAAGGGCTGATAGCAATAGTCTTTGTCTCCCCTTCTCTCATACCCTCTCTTAGAGGTGGTCTCTTGATTGATTGACAGCTCTTGCTCCTGCAGTGCTTAGTCATGCTTGTCCCCTTTTGCACATGTAGTTACCCACGATACACACAGAAAAACCCATGGGGGCCTAACCACAATGCTAACTATATTACAATGAGCATTGGGCCATGTCTGGCTAGGTCCTTGTCTCTACTGCACAATCATGGCTGTTGGGTTCTAACCGGTCTCTTACCTGCCTAACACACCACTGGGATCTACCCTTCCTTTCCTAAAATCTTGAAGACCAATCTCATTATAGAATTTATTTTGGCTTGGACCAGTAACTATTTGAATCCCGGGGATACCTGGTCATCCCCTTTTCCACTGATTCCCATTCCAGTTAGGCTCATAGGCTACTTTATTGGCCGGGTTTTCCCAAGCATAACTGGAAATGGAACAGACATAGACATTCCCTGGCTCCCCTTTCTGATTTATTTCAATTCACAGAGCACATCACTATTTGTCAAGATACCTATTTCAATTATGTATTAGTTTGTTGGATGTGTCTTTCCATTAAATCTAGGCTACTATTCATCTTGTATCCCACAGCCCCTAGAACAGAAGTCAGCACACAGTAAATGCTGAACAAATACATGTGGAATGAATGATTCTGTCTGCTGGCTACAATATGTCAAGATGATATACATATATAATCACATTGTATCATTAATTACAATTAATAATAAATTTGAAATAATTTCCTTTTCTATAATTTCATCAGAGTAAAACCAACAAAGCAATATTAATGCACTTTAAAATACATTATTTTAATAGCATTACATAAATTGATTTTCTCTCATTTGCTTTTTTAACCTACATAGTTTTATTTAAACTGCAAAGAATATAAACCTCGATAATTCTGTAAGACTTAGGGAATGCAGATGAGATTTTCTGTTTGTCTTAGATTTATCTGGTGTTAAATATTAATTATTAACTACAAACTATAAAATGAATAATAGATACAATAGATCTTGAGGTCTGATTAACCATTTTCCACAATTTCCCCAGAGAGGTGTCAGTACCTTACATCTGAACAAATACATGTACAGAATTCATTTTTTATTGAATTCTTGTGTGCCAGCTGTATAATGAATTCCCGTTGGGGAGCAAAAAATGAAATGTGAGACCTATTTGTCAGCTTACATAGAAATATTGTAGATATAAATATAAATATATAGGTACTTAAGCTGTATCATTTACAACTCTCCCTATACACACAGTTGCGATTGAAAACACATTTGTCTGTGTCTCAGGATAAAAATGAAGGACATAAATCCATCGTGCTAACTATAGAAATCTTAATTACAGTCCGTAGTATGTATCCGAGGGAGCTGATCATGTGTTTCATCCAATGTGTTTATCCAACCAGCATTTATCAAACATAAACGTAGGGATTCATTAGCACTGTAAAACTGCAAAATACAATTAGAAAATGCAAATCCAAACAGTGGCTGCTTCTTTCATTATTTTAAAACAACCACAGCATATTTACATTGTGCTAAGTACTCTCACATACATTAATTGCTGTAATTTAATTCTACAGTAATGGGATGCAAGGAATAGTATTACTGTTCATCCAAATGATATGATTAAAACCCAGAGAGGAAAAAGTAACTTTCCCAAGGAGAAGAAGGGGGGACAGATTGACTCAATGAGCTCAGCAGGAGGTAGAGAAAAGCCCTGGTAGACCACAAATGGGGGAAAAGGACCAGAGAAGAACAAAGGTGATGATGGTCATAGAGTGACGCGACATTGACCTCAAAGAGAACCGTCTAATGTTCTTCCACATATTTTCTCCTGCCCCTACATAAGCACCATTGCAGTACTCCCACATCTATTTCTTGGCCAGACTGAAACAAGCCTTCTTCTGAAGGTTGCTGTAGCTCTGGTTTAGGGCATCTTCCCGATGGAGACTCACCAGAAAGCAATAGTCACTCCCCTAAATGCTCATCTGCAGCTAGGAATCTGGGTGTCGAGCATAGTCGGAACACATGGCAATGTGCATTGGTAAGAAAGTTTCCTGAAGTCCCCCAAATTTTGAGCCTTCTCCAGAATTGGTATACTCAGAGCATCCTCTACAGAACTTAACAGTATCACCAGGCATTGATTCTATGCCAGGCAGTCTGTTAGCTTTATTCTATACATTGGTTTAATCCTATGAAGATCCTCATGTTGTAAGTGGTTTATCGTTATTGGATGGATGAGAAAACTGGGGTTCACCAATGTTTAGCACCTATTAATACCACATACTTAGAATGTTAGGAAGCAGGATTTAGGGTTTCATATCAAGCCTAGATACTTAGCGCAGGTTCCACAATGAGTACTTTTTGTAGCAATTTGACCTGAGAACTTCCTGTTCTCTTTATATTCTGATCACGTAGTAGTCAGCCATGTCTTGGTCTCCTTGTGCTTGGGTGGGACTATGTGTCTAGTTCTGGCTAATGAGTTTAAAGGAGCGCCATGGAGTGCATCCGGGCTGAACATTCGATCACAATGACAAAACCTTCCTGAACTCTCGTTTCCTCCTAACATGACAAATATCATCTGTTCCAGGTGGCGGCTGCTTAAATCATCCCAAGTGACTAAATCACTGGGCTGAGTAAACCACCTTGGCGATTGATGATTACCTGGCAATGTGAAATGAGGGAAAAGCTTTTGCTTTAGATCACTGAGATGTGGGGTT